TGAAGTGTGATGGTGGGAATCTTTTGGTTTAGGGTTAACCAGTAGCCTTGAAGACTGACCTTGCAGTCATTAACTGAACTACAATTTCTGCATCATGTCAATGCCTGCTTTAGCTGTTGGCTGAAAATGAACAAGAAATAAAAATTTCAACAGTGCAACAATTAACAAAAAGCAAAAACAAATGGAGCACGGCAGTAATTATGTTCATAATTTCAGGTTTTAGCCTGTACAGTTATATTTTCGTCTATTACCTGCATAATTCCCAGTAACATACATGTATTTTTTCCACCTCACACTGGCATTTGACAATCATTGCAGCATTTGTAATTGTGTGACTTTACACCTTGAGTCAGTTTATATTATTCTGTCTAACCTCCTGTAGTAGACAGGGGTTAAAACTGAATGCCCCCTGTAGATTTCCCCCCGGTAGTTTTCCACCAACACACTCAAAAGCAGCTGTGGTACTTTTCCTGCAGGACATGGTTAAGCCCTCAAATAATCCAACAGAAGATCAATAATAGCTTAATAATTTCTTATCAAAGCAAAGTCCAGGGATGAAAGTGCATTTACAAAATCAGGAGCATAATAATGTGAGCTCTTCGGCTTATCGGCTACATTTATAGATGGCAAGTTCTGCCTGAACAATCGAAAATTAAACACATTCTGATTGTCCATCTCAGTGCAAGACATGCAAGACATTCTTCATTAACTTCACACTGAGCTAGTGAGTTGGGGACATTTCCATTATTATGTGGTGCATCTGATTGGTAGACTGTTGCTGTTGTGACAGGGATGTCATGTGTGAATGCATCTTATTCCTAACTCTGCAGGAGCTACATCCTCTGCTGTGAAGGGTTTTGGGCGGAGGATGTGTGGATGGGCAGCCCCTGTCAGACTCAGCCTGAGGCTGAGGAGGATTGGGGCGGAGGTTTTAATGCAATCTGCTCACCACCTGCTCAGTGGAGGGAAAGGGAGGGGGCTTTATTCTTTTCACAACTTGCTCGTTATCACATCAGACACACAAACACAGATCACTGAGGTGTGTCTGCTCAGAGTTCACAGTTAACGCACCGTCCCCTCCCCACCCAGCCTCCTTCCGAAGGCTGAATGAGCCTTTGCATGACTGGAGCGATGACTGCACACACAGGCTATCCTCAACAAACCTAACACCTGCTTCCTGTCTGGCTGCACATGCTCAGAAGGCCCCGAGAGATTGTGGTTGTGTGTCTGCCTTGCTGTTGCTGTGTGGACTGGGCCAGTCCTTATTAGGACCAATGTAGCATCTGTGATTCTTGGCTCTAAGATATGAATGCTTGATTACACTGTACCTGACCTATTCAGTAACCACAGAACCTCTCTGAGCTGCATTTTCTCTGCACACCACACAGGATGTGGACGATTCCACCCACAGCTTCTTACACTGCAAATTCTCCTGTAGATGATCCTAAAACTGGGCCTGTGAGAAAACCTGAGCCCCAATCAATATAAACCTCACCTCCACGTCAACCATAAAATCCTGTCTGTTGGAAAATATTATTCTGGACAAACGTCTCTGTCACTATCTAAACCATATTTACATAAAAAAGTAGCATTTAATTACTTGGCACACAAAAAATTGCCAGGCAAACAATCAGCAATGGTTTAATCAAAGAGAGACTTACGGAAACAGATATAATTATCAGCATTACACACTATATAACCTATACATGTACAGTCTATTTATTTTAAACACCACAGCTGCTTGAAAATAAAGCTGAGTGCAATATATGCACATATTACTGTGGAAAACATTAATAAAGAACTTTAATGGACTTTAATTTGTTGCAGATATCCAGATCATTTTAATAAACATACCTGCGGAGAATAACATATTGTACTGTGTGACCAGCAGTTCATAACAAAAAAGGAAAATATTCACATTTAAAAACACTGCAATGAATATATAGCATAGTTGCTTCGAAATATTTGATTAATACGTACAGATTCATCTGATAACTAGAAATTGAAAATTACAGCATCTGATGCTGTTTCTTGCTGCTGTGACCTCTCTGAATGTCTAAGGAGGTTTATCTGATATGAATGCTAGCCCACAAAAGGCACTGTCAGTATGAAGTATCAAAAGACAGTCTGACATTTATGTATGACTGTGAATATCTGATACTCCTCATTGTATGGTAAGTTTATGGCGGGGTGCTTCTTTGTGAAAGTCTGTGCACAATACATCAGTGACAGCGCTGCATGCATCAGCATCACTGTGATAGACCTCGGAGGAACAGCAGTAAAAATTCACAGCTTGAATCTCAAATAGCAGGGCGCCTACTTTCTACTAAAGACTTCAAAAGAACAAAGCCCGAGCCAACAAATGCTGTGGTTAGATGACAGGTGGAATACAAATGGAGTTTTCGCAGCTAACTGTGGTATCATCAGCCTTTGCTTTGTTCTGATATTCTGTTTGTGTTCAACGGTCTGTTAAAAGGACAGCAAAGGTTTTCTGACATTCTTATTTCCATCTGGCAGTCTGGTATGTGGGGTGGTGGGGCTGAGGAGATGACCTGCAGAAAAACATCAAATATGTGGTGCAGTCATGAATGTCTGGTGCACACAAGCCATACCTGCACTGCATTTCTCACTGTGAGAAACTGCATGACTACCACCATCATCAGCATTACTACCAGAACAGAAAGAGGGATGGTTCACTGGATGACCCGTGTTTTGTGCTACACAGTAGCAATCTGTCTGCAACATGAGCTATTTCTCTCCGATCCCTGACTCAAATATGCATGTAACTCCCATTCATCACTGTATTAAAGGTGGCACGTCAGCACAGTCATCTCTTTTTATTATGGCCTGACATACATAAGGATCTACTTTGTTTTTGTTGTTTGTTTGTTTTTTAACCATGGCTTTATATTAACTGGTTAAATAATAGATATTCAATTCAATTCAACTTTATTTATAAAGCACCAAATCATAACATAACAACTGCCTCAAGGCACTTTATATTGTAAGGTAAAGACCCTACAATAACATCACAATAATGTGATAGGATACAGTTAATCCTGTAGGGGCCATGAGATGTGAAATACATTAGCCAGGTCTTTCAAAACACAGTGTTTGGTTTTGGTGTAGCACACCAAGAGGTATCACATAATTTGTCTTCTATTTACTCCACCTGATTTTGGTACATTTAACATTTGCAATATTTAAAACTTGTGCAAATTATTGCATGCATGGTATTAATCTTCACAGATTATGCTATGCTTTTCACTTCTGTCTAATCTCAAAACTGCAAAGAATCTCATCTCATCTACTTGCCCAGCTGGAGCTGTCCTCCTGCTCGTGGTGCTGAAACAAACACAAAGAAACAGCCAAACACAAAGTATGCGGAGAAAATGAACACGAGGCTTAACGTGGTTTAAGACTTGCTCTAACATACGTCTCAATATTGTCCATCCCTTTTGCACCTGCTCAGTGCTACACAAGTGCACCATATCCGTATCACTACTAAAAGCCCTTGTTCAATCTCAGCTTAGAGCCTTTTGAAATATTAATGCCTGTGAGACACTTACTGTGCACTCGTATGGATCAAATTTTAAAGGAACAGGATAAAACCCTGCAACTAATTTACAGCACTTTGGTAAGAAACTATGAAATATATACATATTTTATACTGAAGCAATTGATCAGCTGCAAATTTAGTCAATGTTCTTGTCATCTAGGTATGAATTCGATCACACAAATACCTACTATCTGTTTGTCTAAAACACTGAGGTAAAAACATATAGTTTCTCCCCTTCATTTAAAGCATCTGCAGTGATTCTGAAGTCCTTGATTTTCAAAAACGACCTTTTCACACCCGCAAGGCTTTGTTTAATCCAACCTGTGACACTAATTCTGACCCTTCTTGATATTTCTGAGATCTCTCTGAAAGTGCAATACCTCTATTTATAGAACACGCATAATTGGGAACCTGGAAACAGGATAGGCCTCCTCTCTAATTAAGGAATAAACAACACTAATTGCCATCATTACTATCATTCATCTGGTGTTATCAAACGTGATGAGATGTGCATATATTGAGTCCTGTAAGATTACGCTCTACATCTTGGCTAAAATCTGAATATCACCATTCTAAATGTATTTTCCTCCCAGGCTCTCATTAGGGTTTGACATATTGTATTCCACTAAAATGTCAAAAGTCCATAGCAAATCTGGCATTTTCAAGGCCACCTGCTTTCAGCACAGTCGGGTGGAAATGTTACCAGATGTCAGTTTAGTACTCTGCCCAATTTCCGAAAACAGAAAAAACACAGTCAGAAAAGGCTAGCTTTACTTACTGTAAAAGCTCAATGTACCTCAAGAATCACATTTATTTTACAGGGTAACCCTTGTGTTAAAACCCACATCACATGTAGTAGGATAAGCATCGAATCAACAAGTCACAAGAAGTTGACCGGTATCATTTTTTTCTGTGCGAATCCAACAGAGTCCAGATTGAACAGCATCAGGCTACACAGACAGAGGGTGGCAGCATGAATGGAAGTCTGAGGGGCTCCTTATTTTATTAAAAACGGGCTCCCCAAGTTACACATAACGATGCTCACTCAAGGTTTGCCACGCAGCTAAGTCCACGAGGAACAATCGGGAACAATAGGTGTGACAGAGAGGAGAAATGATGCACCTGGTTTGGGTGTAGGAGTCTGACACGTTGCCAGAGACAGGCTCGTCCTCACCACCACCAACACCACCACCACCACACTGTACCGTGAACTTTAAGATATTTATAAATAAAGGAAAAGGTATTGCTCTCCGTAATCAGACATTTTTATCGACTCTCGGTTCCCCCGCTTACTGCAGCACTCACAGCAGCCTGCACACCCACCTTCCTTCAGCTCCGTAACTTGATGAAAACGATTGCGCCACTAATAGCGCAGTAAAGCCTTCCGGTTTGCATTTCTATCACTACAGGCACGCACGGCTTTAATATTTACCTCACTCACCTTATAAAACTCCCTTATCGCTGAGGTCCGGCGGTGATAGAGATGCTGCTGATCTTTCTTTAACGCCAAGAAACAAGAGGAACTCCCACCTTCGCAGGGGCCGTCTAACAATTAAACACCTGCTTTGGAGGCGTTAAGGGACCATCAAGCAATGGTGATGCCAACAAAATTTCATTCGTTTTATTCGAAGTTACATAAAAATATATTTGACCAGACATCCACCTTAAAGTTAGCTAGGTCGATTTAAGTGGTTAAATGAATTATATATATTTTTAATGTTAACTTTGAACACCAAATGCACAGTAATCTGAAACTGAATTTTACGTACTCCAGTTTACATCCCACAAATACAAAGGCTTATTCCATTTAAGACAGAAAAATATGTATATTTTACTTAAAAAATACATGTTTTTAAATATATTAAGGAAAAATATTTGAAAACAATTAAGCATTATTAAATTAAAGCTACTTTGTTTTTTTAAAATATACATTTATCATTATTTCTATATTTTGCATTCTTTATAAAAAAAAATCTACAAAAACTTTAGAATATATCACAAGTGTAGATACAAAACAACAACTTTTATATACAGCATTGTTTTGTGGGTACAACTACTCAGTCACTATTCATCTGTCAGTGGGTTGTTGCTCTTACCACACACCATTTAGTAAACCTTTTAAATAGTTTTATTGTTCTTGATGATGATGATATTTTTGAAGATATTTGACTTGTTTATGTTTTATATTATATTATATTATATTATATTATATTATAATATAATGTTGCATGTTGCATGTTGCGTATTATGTTTAGTTTAATTTCTGATCACAGGATATTTCACTGTTGGCTTTGCCTCTTGTTCACAATGAAATTGGAAAAAAATATTTGTAAATACTTTGGTTCCTATGAAGGAATGAGGTACAAAAGATTTTAAAGCTACAATCTAATATTTCACAGGAAAATTTTAAAAAGGTTATATTTATTTACCTGTGCTCCCTATTGCACATGCTTTTATTACTTTATGAACACATATAATATCTCCTGTTTATAATGTTGTATGTGTTTTTACAGACAGGTGTCTTTTCAAAAAGAAATCTCAATATCAGCGAGACAGGATTTAATATTAACAATAATCTTATGTTACCTTAAAGGAGAGGTCTCTAGACTAAAGTAATGAAATGAAAGCTCTTTAGAGACATTACTCTAAGGATACTGAGGATCTATCTCAGACTTAACCTGGTAACAGATATGATGCAAAATGTATTAGTGCTCAAGTTAATTGTACTTTAAATAAAGACAAAATAATAAAAAGAATATTTGTTTGTAACAGGGAGAGGCCAATACCTGACTGATAGTGGTCCATTGGGTGATGGGTAAACATGTAGACTTGCCAATGGAGTTATAATTTCCTGTTATATTGTGAGATGTTGAAAATTGATGCCTTTATGACTCCTGCACAACAAGATGTGTTTTAGTATGGAGTGTTTGTGAGAGTCATGTCATGTTAACAAAAGAAATCAAATGCATTGAGCTGCCTTACATCCTGTGAGTAAAGCTTATTTTATTGAAATTGCTAAAATTAGCTTATGGACCTCTACGCTAACAGCATGGGACGTCAGATAACTGAGGATACATTGCCACCTACTGAATTCTTTCTTTCCTGCATTGACCCTAAACACTGCAGACTGTTCACATGCTGTAATAATAATAGTTGTTCACATGGAAAGAAAGTGAAGGATTAATCTTATAAAAATGTACTATTATATAAATATATACTTTTTGAATGGATGTATATGGACTTAAATATGGGGAATTAACCATGTGAAAATAATAATACTTGTTTTGCTTTGTTGAAATTTCTTTTTTGTCTTGTTAACAGGGACACGTGAAGAAAAAGAGGAACACAGACGCATCCGGACCAGCAGGCGGCGGTAGACAAAGGAGTTAATGTGGTGATGTAAAAACGACGTCAGTGCCTCTCAAAGAAACCTTCTTGTGTGCGTTTGAAGAAGCTCCTGAGCTCCGAGGCTCCGTAGTGCTGAAAGGACAGCTCCTCCGCTCTCTGACATCTGCAGGTAGGCAGATGCGTCGCGCCATGGAGATGAAATTATGGGCAAATAACATTACTGGCGCAATCATTAACATACTGGAAACGATATAATGTAATTCTGAAAGAAAACAGAACACGAAGGAGATGGATAACTACAGTTATATTATAAATGCTTTCTGTTTTCTGTAGCATCCACAGTGTCGATGCCCTCTAATGAGGGACGTAAAGACCAACTTTTAAATTTGGTCTGCGAGACCGTCCTCTTTCCTTTTCGTCGTTTGCTATCTTGTGATTTGCAAATCCTTCAGTGCTGCAGGTTATGCGATGACAGAGGGAGGGGAAAGACATTACTGCTATTCTCAGTGGCCCCTGGGAGTCCCCCACCCCCACTTTGCTCAGAAATTAGTTTTTAACTCTAAGCGGCAGGCTTACATTCTCTCTTCTATTCACATTTCTGCACTGTGCTCTTTGTAAATGGTTTGGATTCAGTGTGATTTATTTCAGGGTTTCAAATTGTCAGGTAAAGAGCATTCAGTAGTAGACATAGAACTAAACAGTTATCCCCTGTGAACAAGCACTTGGACACAATGGAAAGGAAGAACTACCTGATCTCTCCTCAGACCAAACTGTGTCCTTGGAAGGGTCATTCCCTCCAATTTGCTACTATTTAATTCAAGTATCTTAATGTAATAATCTCCCTACAAGTAAATGACTTTACTGCTGGATTAAGACTATTGATGCCCCTTAAATTGCAAACAGCACTGCCAATTCTTTAGGTACTTAGCAATCCTCATAAGCTGAGAATTTGTTTTGTCTATTTGCTAAAACTGTACTATAGTATCTTCTGTTTTGGCTGCACGTTTGTGTTTGCATCTAACATGAAATTGGTAAAAAGTGTTGAGAGTGATTCATCATGAATACCTGTGTTTGCATACAGAGACCTATTTTCAGCAAATGCGTGTTTGATGGCACCTCGTGTTTCCTAATGCAAGTTTGTTATATTAAAAACCTGATTAGTCATTAGAAAAACCATTTTCCAATTATGTCAGCACAACTGAAAATAGTGTGCTGATTGGAGAAGCAATAAGTGCGGCTAAATAAGTGCCTGGATTGGCTGTCTCAGTCTGATTATAGTCTCTAAATTTAAAAAAAGGACTGGAAAATGATCACTTTGTCCTTGCTTTAAGGAATAAAAGTTAATCCATGCAGTAAATTAAAAAAAAAAAAAAACAAAAGAGAGAGAGAGAGAGCAAGAACAGATTTTATAAAACAGGAAGTACTGCTCCCTCCACAAAACTGTGCAAGCATCAGGGCCTTTACCTAAAAAAGGATAAACACCCATACAAGCCAACGTGAGGTGGTTTGTAAAGGGAGTATGATGCCCATGATGAGTGAATCTAAACCTCTGACCACAACTGTGTTCAGCTCTCTACGCATGCTCAGACTTTTAGCACAATAAACTTGAACTAAGTAACATAATGTGCACAGAAAGAGCGGTGGTTGATGTAAACAAGCCAGTTTATTCAATTTATTATCATGTTCCATTTAAAATGATAAATCATTTATGATTCCACAGACCATTAGTTGTGATTTAGACCATTTTGGGTCATTGTTCTTGTTATATTAGATACAAACAAACGTGCTTTGCTTTCAGAAGAAAGAACATTTCAAACTGACCAGAAACTTCTGCGCAGTTACGTTTACAGTTACTTGCACTTGCACTGCTAACTGCGTTCTTTGCTCCCACACAGATATGTTCACCCGGATGTTAAAACTGAGACTTCTCAACGCTGTAGCACCTGCGTACTTTTTTACGGCTACAGCAGTCACCTTCATTTTTCACTTTGGCTTCTTCATTCCAACAATTTTCCCAAGTCAGGGTATATCACTGGACGGGTCCAAAGTTTTACATACAGTTATTTTCCTTTTCTTGATGTTCAATGCGTTAGGGAACTACATAATGACTATTAAATACCCAGCTGAGAGTGCCAACGAGACTGTGATTCCAGTGTGTTCACCTCACTGCTCAGATAAAGTGGACGCGCACTACCTCCTAAACGGCCGTCACTTCTGCAAACTTTGCAAGAAGGTTATTCTTAAGAGGGACCACCACTGTTTCTTCACTGGAAACTGCATCGGCAACAAAAACATGCGCTACTTCATCATGTTCTGCATCTACACATCCTGCACATGTTTATACTCTTTGGTTCTTGGCGTGGCCTTTCTAACAGTGGAGTACTCTATCTCTTTTGAGAACCCCCTGACCTTTTTGACTCTTCTCCCGTTCTCCACTGGTTACTTCTTCATGGGTGAGTTTTCCATTAAAGCTGATATCGCAGAGGGGACACCAATTAACAACTCAATATTTTTATTGTTGGAGTCTGCTAGAGTTTGCATGATTCACAAACTGGATCTTGGCGCAGCCTCTCAGTTCATGCACGTTCAGCTAACTTTGTCCTGATTAGATGCCCTTTGCAAACAGAAGGTTAAAACAGCACGGCGGCAGGGCTTTTGCAAAGCTAGGCCACACTAATGATATTTGCTTTCACTGAGATCAAAATGGTCTTAAACTAAGCATTTAGGTCAGTCTGCCTGAGCTTCAGGCTAACAGGTATTACTTGTATATACACTGACCTCATTTAATACTCTTTTCTTTACTACAACCATCCACCATTCTAACAATAATATATGCGACAGTAATTTCTCCTCCTCAATATCTCCTCACAGGAACAATCTCAGGCCTGCAGTTGTTCCTGGTGCTGATGCTGTACGTGTGGCTGGGCATCGGTTTGGTGTGTGCAGGTTTCTGTTGTCAGCAGGTGCTGCTGGTGGCCCGGGGGCAGACATGGTGTCAGATGCAGAGAGGGCAACTTGCAGAGAATTGCAACCCCTGGAGAGCTAACCTCAAGGACGTCTTTGGCACCCGCTGGATGCTTGGTCTTATACTGCCTGTGCAGACAGTAGAGACGTGCTCTGAAGACGCAGATGCCCATAAAGAGGACTGAAGAAAAACCTCATATCGTAACAATAGCTCCTCACAGATCAAAAAAGTGACACATGTTGTAGAAAATGCTGTCTAAAGACCCATGTGGGGAACGATTTTGAACACAGAGAGGATGCTTTTTGACGTTTCAAATAGTCTGTGAAATAGCTGTTAGCACACATTCCTTTAAGGACAGGAGCCATACAAGCAATGTGAAATAAGCGTGTAGTCTAAGTGTATCCTTTAGGTAGCTTTTTAAAAAGGCAATATTAAGACAAATAAGTTGGTCATTTTTGGGAATCCAGCAGTTTTACTTACGCTACTATAAACGCTTGCATCAAAATATAAAGATGGCTTTGCATGCCTTCACAGCTTTGCAATTTTGTATTATTTGACAGCCTGTGCCATGCGGTGCTCTGAGATTATCAAAGTGCAATATTCTTCCACACATCCTATTAAGATGCTACAAAGCGACGTTCAGGAAACTCCGGGTAGTTTTCGTGACAATGACTCTCGTTTGTCGTTAAGGGCTATCAGACAAAGAAGCCGTTTGTCTGCAGCATAAACTGCCGGGCTTGACAATACTGTTGTGACAATTACATGTTTAGCCTGATGTACTCTACTCAAAGTAATGTGACTCAGGCAGTGTGAAGAGGGAATGCTCCTTTGGAAAATGGGTGGGGAAGATGATTAATATTCGATTATCCAGGGTTATTATTCACAATGTGCCATAAAGTCATTTCTTATTTGCTTATAGCTGACCCCAAAGATGAGGTATTCACGACACTGCTAATAATAAGGCGCTCTGCATAATAATATTATTATTAAGGACTTTTCACTGTTATTCTGTGACTCCAGCTACAAATACACTGCTCATGTCGAACAGGTTTTGGGTTTCAATAAGTATACTTTCTAGAGATATTTTGTCTATTCCTGTTATACCAATAAAAGTATTCAAATCACAGCAAGTGATTAATTATTGTCTTTAATAATGACACACTGGTCTTCCAACAGTTTTACACAAAGCACACTTGACAATATCAGAAAAAAAAAAAAGTATCCAAACTGTAATAATTTGCCACCCTCCTTTTGCCCTTTTAAAACCAAGACTGCTTTTGATTCATTTTTAATATTCAGGTTAATTACTAATGTTGGGGTATGCAAATCGTGGTCCTGAAAACAAATCAAAGTGAACCTAGACTTAATATTTAACTTGTGCTTATGATTTCTATACTGTAACTTTGAATGCATTATCTAACCACACTGTGGGTGGTTATACAACTTCAAAGAAGAATAAATCTTTGGAAACCCTTAAGTATATTAAACTTTCTCCCAAATTAAGCTCAAAAAGAAATAAAGAAATCTTAGCTGCTCAAGCATCGACATAACATACAACATTAACTTACCGGTAAAAAAAAAAAGAAAGAGGTGCAGGGCTTCTGATAAACATTTATATTCACATTATCTTATGCTTATGTTTAGAGGCAACTCAGAAATCTGAGAAATGAAACAAAACAAGCCCACTTCATTGTTTTAAAGTTTAAATTAATACTAAATAATAAGCAAAAATTAAAGCAGGAATGAACATGAGAGCAACAAATCCAAAGGCAACACAGTTATATAGCTACAGCACATCACCTGCTACAAGCTGTAGGTATGAAGTTTCTATTTAATAATAATAATAATAAAAAAAAAAGAAGCTTACTTTACCAGAACTGGCCAAATCCGTGCAATAATCTCTGTTTACAGTATTCACACAACTTTAGTCTTGGTCAGAAACATCATTACAAATAAATAATACTGACACCAAATAAACTTCCATTAAACGAAAAACAAACTGTTACGATTTAGCAAGCCATCTGAACTCTCTGTGAATCAGACACCGTTTGAAAAGACACTTCCTACAAAAGATGCATCAGCTCTATCAGTTGGATTTACCAGTTTAGAAATAAAGGATAAAGAAAAACAAAGATCACAGGAACCTGCTGACTAAAGATGAAAGATGGATTTGATCTAAGAAGTAAATAACCCTCATACTTTCTCCACACTAGCAACATTCATGCCACGTATAAGGAGTAAACCCCATGTGTCTTTGTATGTGCTGTAAGGCATGCATTAATGCAATCAAGTAGGGATGCACCGATATATTGACCGAACATCATTACGAACTGAAATCAATCATGTGGATGACCACTGGCTTCTCAGCACGTAAGACAACACTTATCAAAGTGAGAGGCCAGTGTTTATCTACAGTGTGCCATCAATTTTGAGCTGGTTTTAATGAGAAAAGGTAGCGTGACAAAGTATGAAAGAATTTTAAACATTTGCAACTTTTCAACAAAACAAAGAGAAAAATAAAAACGTATCAGCCTGGGCTATCGGCTAAACACTGGTGTCAGTACTTCACAATCAGTGCATCCCTACACTTAGGAGTTTGACACAGAAGCCATAGCCCTATTGCAAGTGATACTTGCTATTTTGAAACAGAAGAGGCAAGAAAATTCATTATAGGCAAGGGTTCGAAATACAAGCATGCTTCCTAACTCCCATCTCATAAGAACGGCTGCTTCGACCTCAGCACGATCTGATGTCAGCGTTTTAGTGTCTGTGGACCGATCACATTATTGCGTCACGACTGTGCAACTAAGAGAAAAAGAGCAAATGACTCTGCCCTTTTCTAACATGCAGTTAAAACTACAACTGCAACCCCCCTTTTCCCCATAAATGTAGCTATGTAGTTTCATTGCCTAAGCTTAAACCAGCAGTGCAAATTTTTGCCTTCCTCTTCTGGGACTGAGAGCAAAAACACAAACGCTTGTTAAGCATGCCAATGATATCTTCTGCTCTACTAGCCCAGTCACTGTTGACACTGCTAAGGGTAAGAAGTATAGGAAATGTCACCACAAGCAGCAAATATAATTACTGCTATCCTGTGAAGATGTTTGGCTGGGCAGATCAGCACTATATGACTGAATATAACCTATTCATCTACCCTGATATATCATCTATACAGACTTTCTTGCTCTTTATGTCACATTTTCTGAATTCCCATTCTCCAACTCCGTAATGATATTTAGGTTGGAGACAGAAATCCCCTTTAGGGTTGCATCTGGAATAATAACTCTGCCAAATCAAACATGTGGAACTACCCACTGTGGGGACCCTTGTGACAATGGAGCGGCTGAAAATAGCTTTTGACTTCCCATATCACTTCTGCTGGTTTTTCACAATCCTTTATCACGAAGTTGCAGAGCTACTGCATCCCAACAATGTGACCGGTCGTTTGAAGTGACGGTCCTGGAGTAATATCAATTCTGATGTCGTCGGAACAACAACATGCAATATGAGACAGACCTTTAGTTTTATATCCAACCAGCTGCTCCAAAACTGTCTAATTTCTTAACTTTGCTGCAGAAAGTGATTAATACCTACAGCCTACTGATAAAGGTCTGAAAGCTTAAAGTTTAGTTCAAGAGTATATTTAACACAATTTATCCACATTTATTAAATCCCCCTGTGGCCTCCTGATTAATCCTCGTCTCCAGATTCAGGACTACTGATTATGTCCGTACATATTTTAAGCTAGGATGCTCTGCGGTTTCGCCCCCCACTGTTCCTTTTCTGTGTCCTGGAGAGAAAGCTGGAGTTTAGTCCAGAGTTGTGGGTTTCCACTGCTCAGAGCCTCCAGCAGCAGAGTCGTCTGCTCCTGAAGCTGCTGCAGCTGGTCTTGGGTGCGCTTATTCTCTTTGATCAGCTGCTTTGTGCGCATGGTGATCCCCAGCAAGCCGGACTTGTTGAGTATGTTGTAGGTATTGCTGAAGCGCTTCTCCTTATTAGTGCGCATCGAGTCCTCATCCTCGAATTCGTCATCAAGCATCCTGTTGTCTCCTGCTAGAGTCCTAAATTCATCTGTGTAGGAGGGCAGGGAGCTGGTTCCTACCTGTGAGGGAAAAGACTTGATAAGCTGCTCTTGACTCTGTGCTTGGTTTGTTGGTGCTTCAAAGTTGGATGTGGTTTGGGCTGTCATCTGCAGTGCTGACAGGGGGCTGGGGGTGCTGTACACCCTGTGGCCATGATGATGCCTCCTCTGTCGCTGGTTATATCCTGCTGCTGTACTCCCCCTCACCCTTGAGGATCCTACCCTCTTAGTGGGTGTGTCCATGGGATGCGGGGCAATTTTGGGATATGATTTGAGGATGGGCATGTAGCTTTTTGACTGACGTGTGTTTTCAGAGCCAGTCTTAGGAGAGCTGTTGTTGTCATTTGATAGCATGGGTTGAAGAAGAACCACTTGTGACTGAGGCATTATTTCCAATGGTGAAGGAAAGTTCCACTGTTTTTCTGCTGGAGCTGTGGATGATTGCTAGAAAATAAGAAAAAAAACAAACAAACAGACCTTTAATGTTATAAAACATTTCTTATACTATCTATAATATGGTAGCTGTTAAACATAAAGTGCATGACAGAGTTACAGGGTTATAGTCGATGATCTCAGGGATTGTCAAGCTTCCATTTATATTACATTTAATGTGTCTGGTTAGTTCTGCTGTTGGCATCTCTGCATTATAATAAGATACTTGAGAGGCCTCTCTTCCACTTTGAAATGGATGAATGACTTAAGTGTGTCTGTGTGTTAGGGGGAGGACCTGCTACACTGAACCATCATCATAATATCAAAGTGAGACAAAACAGAGGGTGTTTATATCTGTTGGTTTTATTTAAACGAGAGCTCCATGTGAGTGCTTGCCGGGTTCGCTGTTTATCTCACGCTTTCAACTTTTGTGGGTGTATGTGTGTGTTTGTCGGTGAAAGAGGCCACTGTGTGTGGTGAGAGCTTTGTGTAGAGTGGTGAGAGATTTTACACAAGTAAACACAGACTGAACAACTTAGGAGGATTGTAGCCCCCCCCCAAAAGTTTTTTTTTTTTTTTTTTAAAGGAGAGGCAGCTATAGGTAATGATGTAATAATGTTTTCACTGTTCAGCTAATAACTGTTCTATTATAAACTCTAATTATGGAAGGCTGAATCATCATCAAACAGTAGCATTATTGCTTTTGGTGTGTTTGGGGTACAAAGTATGACTTACTGGGAGTGGATATTATTACCTCAGTGAGTGCACATTAACCCACCACCAATTCAGCAGCATTGATATCACTTTTGCTGATCTCAGAGGATAGCACAATTGAATTATAAAGAAAACTGCCCAGCCCCAGATCATACACAGTCTAAGGAAAGTGTTAAAACACAACATTACCCACAACATGCACAGACAGATCTGAATGCTCAATTTGAGTTAATAAACTCCATCCAAAATTAAGCTTTTAACTAATTTCTCTAAAAGTTCAGAGTACAAAACACTCTGAGCCAAACAATGCTCCATTGAGCACTAAAGCTCAAAGACAATATAGCAATAAAACACTCTAAGAGTAATGAAATACACAGTAGTCTGTTCAGACAAATATTGAAATATTTTACCTGCTTTAACACGAAGTTGTTCATGATGATCATTGGAGACAGTCCAGTGTATGAACCTCCCATCACAGCCACCTGTGGACCAGTTGGCTCCTGGCTGACTATTGACCCATTTCTTGCTGCATCTTCAGAGTCAGTCACTTCGACTGTGCTGAGGTACTCCGAGCTAGCATCTGAGAGGACAACACGACACATATATGAGGCTCATCATGTTTAAAAGAAAGGCTTCTGCTCTGTGTGGAAAAACATTAGCTGTATGAAAACAGTGGCAGATGTAGATAAATATCTGTAGCGTGTCTGAAAAAGGATACTATCATCTTAATGTGAAGGGCTAAATCAAATTCAGGTCAACCCCCATACTGTAAATAACCTACATAGAAAATGTGACCTAGATCTCCACATTTGATTAGGGTCGACCTTGTTCATGAACTGATAGACATTATTTGTAATTATATAAAGGCTAATTATATCCCAGGTCAAGACACGTGTTCTTTCAGACAAAATCAAGAATATTTTGCACAATCACAAGACTTAAAAAGCATGCTAGTTTTTTTTTGAATGTAAGCAAATCAAACCTGAGAAGCCTGAATCTCTTTCCAGGTCTTGTTTGCATGTTCCAAGGTGCGATGTCCGGGTGAACGGCAGAGTCCTGTGACTGCCTGGTTGATTAAACCGGTTCATGATGGTCTATCCAGGAGAAAAACAAAAGAAAAAAACAAAAACACATGGACAGACGAAGTTAAATAACTGCAACTTAATTTCTCCAGGACAGTCTTATGCAAGTTTGTGATACAGTTTGATGACATTTTTTCTTTATTTTTAAATCCATTCTGTGACTTGGGAAGGAGAGAATATTAAATATCTATGAGTAGCATGTCCATTTTAAAACAGTAATATTCCATTTCTTTGGATTTTTTTCATGACAGGTGACACATTATCCTATTTGGCTATGGAAGACATTGAGACTTTTTAAAGATCTTTGGCTACAGACAGATGGGTCACAATGATTGTTTTTGCTAATAATTTACACATTTTAAAAACCTTTATAAACTACAATATTTAGGCCTTAGCAAACCTACCTGTTTCACATGTCATATCTTACGTGACAATCTAGTTATATAAAATATAAATTAGGAACAAATAAATAAACAGCAGCCAATTATAATTGTAAACAATCACAAGATAAAGGTGGCCACTCAGACACAGCAGGGCCAAGGCTTCAGGTTGTTCCCTTAATTTGTCCTTGCCTATAATTTTTTCATAGTAACTCATTACTATATACGATTTACAGTGTATAATGACTAAAAGCACAACAGTCACAGTATAAACACTCACCTCTAGTTAATACGTAATCTGTCTTTTTAGAGCTTCTACTTTGAATTGTTTACAAGACTGATCATCACTTCACGTTTAAGGCCTGTACTTTGCATTCATACTGTACATGACTGTATTTATTTTTCAACATACTGAAAAGAGCAGGCGCACACCCACAAACGGGATTACGTAATGTTTTAAGATGCATAATAAACAGATTAAAACATCATAAAAGCGTATTATTATCTGCCTTACGTCTCCCATTTTACAAACTCGAGCTGAACGATTGGATGAAGGGCCTGTGACCCTCCCACAACCACTCACTGCGATGGCTAGTCATGGCAAGACACACTTTAAAAAAACAAAACAAAACAATGTCGTACTTACCCAGCAAAAACAACAAATAAAGAAGTCCGTGCAGACAATCATTGTTATAAAGCTGGGATGCTGACCAGTCCAGCGTTTATAACTTCTTAACTAGCTACAGCTAGCATTGTTTTGCTATACACGCAACTTTGTCAACATTGGCCGTTAACGTCAAACAACGTACGCGACACAAACACACACACACAGCTTTAGGGTTACACAAATGTGCTTCTGCAATAACAAAATATGGAAAGCAACATTAGCTGCTGTCTGTATCATCGACAGTATGTTTTATCTGTTTACTATTCATTTAGCTGGGTAACGCTAGCTGCTAGCTACCTTAGCTTTAGATCAGAACTCTTGCTATCACGAGATCGATAAGCAATATGAGTACCAGCATAATTTCGACAAACCTTACCAAGACGTCGTTTGCTTCAAAGCGAAAATCCAACTTTAGTAGCTTGAAAATATGTGGCTAGTTAAAGCCACCCAACTCCCGTGTTGCTAACGCCAGCTCTACTTATGTGCTCTACAAAATAAACGCCCTCCACGCGGTCTTACAGGTAAACACAATTACGTGCGCGCATTCACGCAGATATGGTTTTAAACAAATCGGTGACAGAAAATCATTTGCATTTAAGTATTCATGCTGTGAATTAGTTTGTTATGGAATACATTTCTGAAAGTATTAAATAATAATCATATTTTTTTTAAAATCTTTTTTTAACAAAAAAGCACAAAACACATTTGCAACTTTATTGTCTGTTACGGCAACCTCCTGGATAAGTTTCTAAAAGTAAGTAAGGGTTTTCAGATGATGGGGTTATAAGTCCAGTTTTTAGTGGTTGTAATTTAGGTGGTTTTAAGAAGTGTACTTTTAAGAGCTGTGACGGGAACAACAACTCCCTGTGAGACACTATTAAGGGCTTTAATAACCTGATACATAAAGGTTGCTACGGAAACGGGTGAAGTACATGTTTTATTCTTGGGGTTGGCGAAAGAGGAGCTTGTTTTGAGACTTATGCTCTGATGGGGTTACGCTATGGTGTGCGTAACCCCATCAGACTAGTTGTTTAGGCTGAAAAACGTCTTTTTAAAAAAATCTACCGTGTTTGATATTTTAGCCTACAAATGTAAACGGCCTATCATATAGTTTGCTATTATTTGTGATAATGTGAAACAGATTAAGACTGCCAGCAGTTGGTACATCTATTAGGATTGCCTACTGGTATATAATTATTGAATACAACTGGAATTACTAAACAATTACACAAGACAAGCCGACAATCATAACAGTTTTATTACAAAATAAATATTTAAATGAAATAAAATACTACGTCAGTCAAAATGCTATTTTTACATTTTCATAGATTTTCTTTATGTGATACATGAAACAAACAAACAAACAAACAAACAAACGCCATTTAACATATCTACGAAACTTCATCCCTTCCATGTTGCAGTGTTTCTAGAAACAGAGGATGACACCTGTGGTGTGGGATTATGGGATTGTTGAGTCACCAGTTGGACACAAGGTTGTGCTGTTCAGCTGCACACAGCATATGGGATGAACATTTGAGACCGTAACTAATGCTTTTACATGTGGGAGCTCAAGCTTGGAATCTAATAAAAAAAAGATTTTGAGGGCTTACATGATGTTTTAACGGCTATAAAAAGCAAAAATAATTTGTATTCAAGCTTTCCCCTGTTGCTGCAGCACTCCATACAGTGCAATTACTTTTAACCTGTCATAGCACTGTTTTTAAATTTCAACTTTAAGAATTTTTATTCCGTAGACACGCCGGTGAGCTGTCTGGAGTGTACCCTCTTTCCTGTCCAAGGTCAGGGACAGGCAGGCTCGAGCCTCCTCCACAACCATTACTTTGACAAGTAGATAAGACAATGTATACTGGATATATCCCACTGGAATACTTAAATCTGAATTCACATTTCACTTATTTGCTTACACGACAGTAAGAAACATGCCACACCAAATATTACACGGCATTCAAAGGAAGCCTTGTGGGTATTAGTTGTATGGTCCTTGATATGTTTCAAGTACAGGCACAGGCAGAGTGAAGTAGTGTATCATTGAACGTGCACTGTATGTTATGTCCTTGTGACTGACACTCGAGAAAAAATGAGTGGTTTGCCAAAAACTGGGTCCAACCCTCTGATGTGCACTGCCCCTCTGTACAGTATTTAATTCAATCTGCATACCTCAAATACCCTCCTGAAGGCTCATGTATTGTCATAGAACTGCAACCTGTTTACTGTGAGCGACTAAACAAGCAACGCATGGGTATTTGGTCCTGAGTTGGAAATGCATGATGGGCGAGCTGAAATATCCGAGGATGTTTTGATCAAAATTATAAATGAAAAAATTGAAACGAGGAATTTCTACTCTTGCAAAAACATGTGTGCTACTCAAACATAAGTGTATTCATTATTTTAACACGAATGTGCCGGTTGCCGTTGATCTCGCCACACCCACTGTGCATCCATATGTTCATTTCAGATGAATGGGCCAGATAATCAAGATTAGCCTCTTGTTAGGAGAACATCTGTATGCTGGATTCCATAAATATGGAAAGTTTGAAGTTTTGGGAAAATCTTCGCTTTATGAACATTTCTGCTAAATGTTGTTTTCCCATTCAGGTCACATGATGCTGTTAAAGAGTTTGATTTATACACAACAAGCAATTATGCAACAATGGCTTTTGGAACAGATCTCAGATATGATGATGATCTGATTGCAAAATACTTTAATATAGAGGTTTAAAAACACTTTCCATAAACACTAGAGGGAGACATTTCCTTATCGCATGTACAAAGAAGTTGCACATCAAGTCCACAAGGTGTTCTCTGGTCCAACTATATTAATAAATATAGACTTTTCTTCTTTTTTACCTGTGTAACCTTCTTTTAAATACCAAAGGATTTGACAAATAATAACCGATACAGTAATACCTAGCATAAAAAGAAGACATCAGTCTGTTTGGTTCTACATTGCACTGGCTCCCAGGGATGTCCATTGTTTCAGGCTTGTAACAGCAGTGTTTCCACCAGTCAAAACGCACTTCCTGTTAAACCTTGTCGTTACAAAAACACCCTGCCCATCAGCATAAGGGCATGTCAGCAAATCAACCCAGCTGTTTGAGTCTCTTGCTGCAGACACAGTATTGATAGATGAGTGAAGGAGACTTTTGATGCTCCCACTGGGCTGGAAACAAATAGTGAGCCACACTGCAACAGGGGGTTGGGTCGCCACTGCAGTTACCTGCGAGGAATCTGGCACCTGTAGAACACAAGTGATAACGTAGCCTCTGTTAAAAGCTGTAATAAGATAAAATGGTGGATATGTGAACGTTTTCTCCCCCCCGTGTGCCCCTCACCTGTCACATTCCTTCTTTTTTTGTCTCTCCTTCCTCTTCCTTCCTCTTCGCCTTTTCCTGAACCAAGAACCAAATTATAAAAAAAAAAGCTTGCGTTTTTTGACAAATAGCAAAATTGATATTGTAAGAATATTCCCTTACTTTGGAACCTTCACAACAGGTTTCCTGATTCTGAGGGCAAAGGTTTCGATAAATTAACATGAATGTCCAGGTACAACATTTAAAAGTCTGTGAGAGTCACCCAGTCTTCTAGAAGTTACGTTTATGCTGCCTGCTATTAATGACCAAACTCGATTAGCAGATAGTGTGTCGACAGTGCAGGAATCTTTAGGAAAACAACTTTATTTTCTGTTAGGTATTCAATTCAAGTTTTTGGAGATGAATCTATGAGAAACATAAACATGACTTCCAGGAGACGGGGTTTATATTTTTCATACTTATCAATAACTTATGTCACAACACCCTTCTTTTTTTCTTACCTACATTCACATGTTTGATGCTCCACAAACGTCATCTCAACATATTCTTGACCTTGTTCTGATGGCCTGATTTTCAAAAGCTGGGAATGGAGGAGGGGTGGAGGTGAAACGGAGATTTGTCAAAACAATCTCATGAAGCGCTCACAGCTACGAGTTATAACTCACACTTATGTTGCACAACACTTAGGTCTTACCTGCATGGTAACGTTTGTGGTTTGAGTGGGATGACACTCCAGGTTCTCATCTCCGCAACAGCCAGCGCACCTCACCAGGGGAACGCAGGAGGGGCTGTAGATGTGCTCCACCTCCGATGGGTATTCCTGCACCACCTCCACCAGCTTCTCAATGGTGCGGCAAAAGCTGCGACCCCAAACTTTTTCAAACACAAGCACTGTGAATAAGAGTAGGCAAAGTATAAAGCAGTGCCATCTTTTTTCTGGGACTTCTCTGCATTTTTATTTGGTTAGCGATCAGTTTTTCGTCTTACTGTGACAACATCGATCGTATTTGACAGCTAAAAAAGCTCAACTTAAAGATGATACAGTTCTACACAAACAGTACTGGTAATTAGCTCAGTAATCCAGCAATGATATGCTTTCATGCCCTGTACACAGAAACCTATACACCAGTATGTATCCTGTTTTCATTTTCAGGGGGAAAGAAACATTTGTTTAATGTACAGTGTGCTTTCCTGTGGGAGTACATGTGTGAAAGTGTCCTAGTTGCTTTGGGGAGACTGTGGAGGAAGAACAGGGACAACTATGGCCAAACAGAGAAGTAAGAGAAAACAAACACTGGGAACATGGCCATGAACAGAACCCTGCTGGATCTGGAACTGGAGTTGCCCCGCAGGCACCTCTGGGACTGTGGTGACCCTCAGAGGTCACCAAATGGAGCCTTACACTACAACAGCTGTTTATAAAAGCAGACAGGCTGGGAGGAGACGGCTGGGGAAGCATCCATGGTAAGGAGATGAGGCCACGAACTGTAATGTAGTACAGTGCAAAGGGACAGTTCAATGGCCAGTTAGTGCCTCTTGAGTGGACTGCATGCCTTCTGCTGATCTGGCTCTTAGACGTCCATGCAGTCATTTCTGCCTGCAAGTTCTACCAGTGCATTCCTCTTTAATTAGCATTAATGTATAGCAATGTAAGGGAGCAAAAGGATATGAAGAGAGAAGGTCAGCAGTTGAGTAATCGTTGCTAGCCTAGACATGCTCTGCTGCGCTCTATATTCAGATGAAATTCGATGACTAACCAGCATGCAAGAGTAAAGAACTAAGTCATTTGTATTTTTCAGCATTGTGTGACGACCACAACGAGGGAATATATTTTTGTTAAACTCTAGTCTCCCCCTTTTGTTTTCTCTAAACCACAAACACTGTAGAAAATACAGCGTAACAAAAGAGTCAGAGCTACTCTCTCGAAGAAAGTTTTATTAACTCATTTTATCCAGGACATGCAGACTTAAAAGCTTAAAACTTGAAGAACTCCTTACCTTCCATTGTACTGTTTATACTTGCCAAGGGAAGACTCTGAAAAACACAAAATGTGGGGATCCAGAATTATCATTTGTGGTCTGACAGGATGTGACAGCGAGCCTCAAGACTGACAATGAAAGTGAAACAGGTACTGGCAATAAGCCAGAAACATTAAATACATACCTAAACATGAATAACATTATATAAAACTAATCCAAACTGTTAACCCACCCACTCAAATATAAACACTATTGCCTACAACCTTTATACACATAGAGAGGTCAGCCTGCCTTTACACTAACGTCTGACACCAGTGTTTTCATCCTCTGGTGGCGATAGCTGGAACAACAGTACACCAAAGTGGAAGGTCATTCCCACTCTGTTGGGGATGAGTCTTTTGGACAGGCAGCAGATAGAGGTCTTCATATATATATCTACAGTGTGCCCAACTGTTTAGGTTCAAAACCTGTTTCCTGTGGTGTAACATTCATCTCTCTATTTATTTTCCCATTGATTGTTTCCTCCTCCGTCTTGATTTTTTCCCATAATCCCATGATAAACAGAGTGAATTTTTCATTCGCCTGGGAAAACACAAAACCTCTGGTTGACTCCATCTCAGGAAGGGAAATCTATGTTTGATAAAATACCCTCCGGCAGAAGTGCAGGACAGGCGGCAGACAACCTGCTTCCGCAGATTCTCCTCGTCACTGGTGTTGGACTTGAGTTTCTCTATGACACATGCCGGACCACATTCATAGTGTAACAATGTTTTTGTAGACAATAGCAGTGGGACAAATGATACTGGAGCAAAAAGTCTTCATGCAACAGCAACCAGCCTGACAAGGACTTCCTCGAGTGATGGCAATAAAGACTGTTGCTTTATGCACCATCTGTGCTTTGTTGAAATCCATCCTTTTCCTGTTATGAACCAAAATTAGTTTCAGGATGAGGATAGTATCTGTCAGCATACTGCTGTATTCATCCTTCCCTCCCCCCTCCAAACAGTGTGATTTAAGAGGAATGTCCCGATTTAATGATGATGATGATGATGATGATGCATTTACACTTGCAAACATTTCAGCAGTTCCCGTAAAACTGTCACTGACATGAGTGTCAGAAACTGACCTGTCCTCTGAGCTGCACAGCGTTCTGTATTAAAGACTACAAATATCACTCAAGAGTCCTTTCTGGGCAAAGGGAGCTGTTGAGGCATCTTCCCTGTTTTTCAACACAGTTGTTCTTGTTCTTCTGGCTAAAATCTACAGCTGTTGCTATGATTGCCGAGTTGTTCTATAGTGTAGCATCCATCGGGCTGTGTCAGCCTCACTGAAACACAGCAGGATATAAGCTCTACTTGCAGAATATTCTTTAAGCACAGCATGGGAAAGTCACAGTTCAGTTCCAGTTATTGTCAAAAGTTGCTTTCATTTTCAGGCCCATTGAGTGTATTTTATATTCAATGGCAGGCTGATAAAATGAATCTCGTGTCCAACGTTAACTGGCATAAGATCAGCTTCCCCTTTTCCACCCTTTTGCGTGTCGTGGCTGCTCCACATCACAAGGGTTTTTTGGCTCTGGCCTCACTTGCCTCTCTGAACGTTTTGAGGTTTTGGAGGATTTTCTAACCTTGGTCATGGGTTAAGCCTCGACATGATGAGGAAACATCTTTGGTACCCTTTGCGGTGGAGAGCAGAGGAATGAGCTGCCCAAAAGAATCCACCAGATTCTTAAAAAGGCTTCATGAGGATCCTCACGTAGCAATTCCCTCCGTCTTATGTACTTAGAGTGTTAACTGTATGATTCATGGTGACAGGGGGTGATTAGGCTCTTGTGGAAAGGGGGACTGTTTCACATTAATAAATGTGTTCAATGTGTCATTAATCCTAAAAGCATGCTCGCTTTCTGTGCAGTCCTGAATGTTTCTTACATTTTGTTCCCTGGTGACCTTTTTCAGGGAGTTTACTTGTCCTCAATCAGAGTGTAACGTTACCATGTGTCATTATCATTTATTGGTTTCATAATGTGGGTGTTAGGACCTTTGAGACTAAGTGTGATTAAAGGCTATAGAAATAAACTAGACATGACTAGACTAAATTCATCTGTTCTTGGTTTATAACCCAATACTTCTCCTCTTTGTCAATTGTATTGGAATTTTCACTTGTATGTACAACATCTGGGTTTTTGCAATTGACAGAAAGTGCTGAAATACCAAGAAGGAATTAAGAGCAGAAAATCCCTCCTCTTTTTACCATTACACACAAGCAGAAACATCCATTCTGTCTTTCCAGTAAATGAGTTTTACAGACTGTTTCTGTCTAACACAAAAAAAGCTATGCTTCATAAAATGGATTAAATATTCTGGGCTGTAGTCTGACACAAAGATTAAAATTATAGTCTTATATTTTATAGACTCTATATACAAGACTTAAACGTTGGCAATACATAAAAACTAGCAACAGCTTTGGAGGGTCAATTCATATCAAGTCAAAGTCAAAGTCAAAGTCAGCTTTATTGTCAATTCTGCCACATGTACAGGACATACAGAGAATAGAAACTACGTTACTCTCAATCCCTAGATAAAATAGCAAATGAACATTTAAATATAAGAGTGATTAAAAATGCAAGTAAAATAATTAAAAAGTAAAATTTAAATAAATAAATATATATATAAATATATACAGGTACATATGTGAATGTATCAAACAGGTAAAGAAAAGTCCATGGATTACATTTGATTTGATTAATAACGGCCCATCGCGTCCTTACTTTTAATCCTAATCTTAATCCACCATATAAAGAATGAATGAATGCAAATGTGTACTGTATGTTAATAGAGGAATCAAAGATCAGGACCTAACAATTACCATCATTATCAACAAACGATTAGTTTATTTTGAAAATTTCAGAAAAAAGACCAATATAAAATTATATATGTTATAAAAAATTGTACTGATTGGATTGGAAACAACATGGCAGTGCAGTGGCTTGGACTCTACAGGTGTGGTGACTTTACATGGTCTACATATGCATGTGTTATTTTCCTCCATGTTCCAAAGATAATGGATGCAAAGATCATTTGTGATCCTACATTAGCTGTAGGTGAATAGTTGCTTCTCTCAGTGTTAGCTCTGTAAAGCTGGTGTACTCCATCTCTCAACTAATGTTTGATGGGACACGCGTAAGCAAATCTTTGATCCTAGCAAGATAAAAAAAAATATTGGGATGCCACATCTCCTTTAAGCTTTATGTAACTGGTAATTGACATTTTATTTAAACATAACTTGGACCTTTCAGTGATTAAGTGCCTAAACCTTCCAGCTATTCCTGTGCCAGAGAAACCTTTCTTACTGCATCTACAAGGTTCCATAAGTAACACACCCTTGTTTGGCTACTGTAGTTGTACAAAATGCTTTCAGGTCTTGACATTTAGTACTTTACGGTGGCGCAGTGTGCTTCAGTATTTCAGTAATCAGCTGGAGAAAGCGAGTATGGATTGAGTTGTCTGTAGTAGTTGTAGCTGAAATAAAACATTGTTTATAAGGTTATGTTCCTACTACTGCTGGTTAAGAGTTTGTGCTGTACTCTAGGTCAAATCAGAGGACCTGTTGCGTCCCTGGGCTCCTGCCATTTGGCCGCAGAGGCCCCAAGCCTCATTACTCTGCAGTCCCACACAGCTGAAATGCGTCATCTTTAACCTCCTTGCTTATTCCATCTGTCAGAGGAAGGGCAGCGTGGATAGGGAGCAAACCTAAAACATGATGGGGACCCAGCATAATTGTCAGAAGATGTTTCAGCTTTGAGGGTCAAGTGGGGGAGGAGGTAAACAGCAGGTACCCATGGCCCTCTGCCAGAAAAATCTGGAGTCCAGCCAGCTTATTCCACAATGTATTTTTCATAAGGAAAGAACAGGATGGCAGATCAAATACAAAGGTTCCCAAACCAATTTAGGGTTATTAGATAGAAAAGCCTATTCTGAAGGCTTGGAGAAACTGATGCAGACTGGAGGTTAGGTTCGTCTTCTCCAGTGGATTGCATAAGAGTAAGGGTGGGGCATGCTTTTGTTTTCCAGCAGAGTGAAATGGAAGTTTTCTAAAGGCGGCTATAAATCACAATTAAATGCTTTCACGTCATTCCAGTATTCCAGTATAAAACAGTAATAATTAATCATTATCAGTAACCAGCGTCCCATACATAGATTGTTCAGATTTCACAAAGTAATAGACGGCTATCTTAAAGCCTGCAGTAAGATTTTCTTTTCACATGCTGGTAGGGCGTTTTAGGTTATATCTCTTGTGGTTGACAATACAATAGGATTTAATTCATACTATTCACAATGGAGCCAAGACACTGAAAGGAATGAGTGTTTCGCAACATGCTTGTATTTCCACCATTAGAAAGCCGACCACATTCTACAGTTTTCGGCTGAAAAACAACTTTTCATGTGTTATTCTGCAAAAAATGTTGCCATATTACATGCAGTTTTAATGCTGACTCATTGCTTCTGTTGACTAAAGATTAGGTCATCTGATTAGCACACATGTATCGTTGGATCTCCTGCTTTGATGGTATTCAGGCTGTAGTAGTAAACTGTAGTCCTCTAGGCAGTCCCCTTAATCTTTGACCATCTGACAAACTGTAATTGCTTTTACATTAATTAGTTCAGTCAAGCTGGATAACTTGACTGACTGGGTTTGCTAAATGAGGTAAAGAATGACAGTAAACTAAATGAAATGAGTAAATATAAGTAGTCTGGCAGTTGGGTGATTCTGAAGACGCATAACAAGGGAATTTTTAAGTGGACTTATCTTGTGTTTCTTTATTTTCTCTCACATATTTTGGTACAGTGGTAGAAGTTTGCATAAATCATAACAAAGGTTTTAAATTTTAAATGGTCAAGAATACGTACAAGTAATCACTGTAAGCCAAAGTCTCAGACTGCAGACGGCTTTAAATGCTCATTTTCTTTGGACAAATTTTGTCTACTCTTGTATCTGTATTATGTCACAGAGGACGTGGAGCCCTAACTTGGTTTTCTCAGGGAGGCAGCCAATCAG